TCTAGTGGAAGGTGTCCCTGCTGCTGGCAGGGGGGTTGGAACTGGATGAGCTTTAAGGTCCCATCCAACCCAAACCAGTCTGTGATTCTATGATGTTGGGTTTTGTTTGACTTTGTGAAGGCACATCAGGCTTCAGTCACAGGCACATTTTCCTTCGAAGATTCTACTCCAAGGTGCTACTGACCAGTGTAACTTGCACCCTGTTGCAAACAACATTCATACTTTCAGAATTGTTCCATTCTTTTCAAGAAGATGCTGGGTGAGTAACCTCTGAGCTGTTCTTAAAAACAGATGAAAGCACGTAAGACAGGACACTGTGAGCCGGAAAGCCTGAATCACACCCGCTGCCCTAACCTGCTGCCTCTGCTTCAACACAGAGACAACTAAAACAGTCCAGTCATGTAAAAAAAAATAAATTTAAAAAAAAGCATTTTCCACTTACTGAAATAAACCTGCTCCGTTGTGACCTGAGGTCACTGCCACTTGACAAACGTTTCTGAAGTTTATACCAACACAAGCAGGTTTGTGTGGATTCTGCTTTTAGTGTTCATGGTTGTAGTTCCTGCCTCAGCAGCAGAGGTAGTGTCACATCTGTGTTTCGGATCCGAAAGGTTTCAGTCAAAGCTTTGAAGAGGTTTTGGCAACCTCACCTGAACACCTATCAGCTGAGGTAGAATCTGCCCAGCTGCCAGCACAGAGGAAAAAAAAAAAAAATCCAAATTGTGAATTGTGGAACAAATTTCTGAGTTTTCTCCATCCGATCTGAATGCACTGGAAGGGTGTGCTTCAGGAGAGGCAGGTAAGCCCAGGTGAGGTGGAGACCCAAAGCAAGCAGGACAGGGTAGCGTGGATCAAGGAGCAGCAGCTCAGGACAGCGAAGGTCACCATCAACCCTGCAGCAACAGGCGCACAGCACAGCTTTGGTGTCACCTGCATGGAGAGCGGGTGTTACCGCAGCAGTGGCAGTTACACATCAGCAGGACCCTGCACTGAAACTGTGTGTTTCTGGGATTTTTCTGTGGTTTTCCAAACCAGCTCCTCAGCTGATTTAACAGGATGACCCCACGCACACGCTCCCAAAAGAAAAAGGCACAAACCCTCACCACGAATCCGCGTCACCACAACCCACTCGCTACTCCTCAGCTTTCCAGCACCAGCCCACAGCACTACTCGGGACTTGCCAGCCTTCAAAACCAGCTTTGATCAGGAAATCACCACTTTCCTAAGTGACAGCAGCAACAGGACAGAATCCAGAACTTTGGAGTATTTAAGTTACCAAAAACAAACGCATCTCTCTGCAATTTTGGACTAAGACACCCCTAAGCTTGGTGCTTTCTACCTACAGCAGCACACAAGTAAAACGTGGCACGCCAACACCAAGTAACTGCGGTTTAGTCACTGTGAAAGGACAGCAGCAAGCTGTAAAAGGTGTCCGGGAAGGGTCAAGCAATACGTGGCAGCCAGAGCAAAAAAAGCTCCACCACAAGTATTGTTTCACACCTACGAAGCCTCCCAGCCACCAGTGCTGGAGCTGTGTGTAGAAAAAATAAAGATTGTGAAAGATAAGAGCAAGTTCAGAGGAAGTCCTCCTCCAGGACACACATCCAGCTCTTCTCCAGAAATACATCTGACACTTCTGATTTAAAATACGTGTTGATTTTTTCCTGTACTGCAGAAGCAAGAGCTCACACTCTCGAAGCACTGAAGCCATTAACAGAGATGCCTGTTAGCCTGGAGCTGTATGAAAAGCTTAGATTAAATGTTTCCAGCTGCTCCTAACACAGTAGATTTGAACTTGGGAGGCAGGATGCTCCCCTGTGAAAGAATTAAACTGGAGACAGAGTAAAGAGCCTCAACAGAAGTCCTGGTCACAGGTAACCACAGTGCAGAGGCTGCCCGAGGATGAAGGACTGAGTTCCAGTGCACCAGGTACAGCTGGGTTAACACCGCCACATGAAGTGGAGCAAATTTAAACTTAACTTTCCCACATTCCAGATGTATCTTCTAACTCTGGGATCTTGTACCTCACCTAGCATGCAGACAAAGTCAGGAAATCAAACAGATGCTTTGCTCTGTAAACAACACCCCCCCCCCCCCAACAAA